AACGTACCTAAATGTCACGAGTACTTAAACCTGATCAATCTGTGGTTGGTGGGACTGTAATACTTACCTCTAATTATATCACCAATCTATCAAGTGTCTGAAAGTACATTCATCACCACTGATTAAAGAGATGTCATTATTGACCTCTAATTAGATCACTTAACGATCACATACCAAAATCTACATTTATCATATCTGATTGATAAAGTGTCAATGTCGACGTCGTTTGACAATATTAATACGTTGCATCAGCGTATATATTGAAATATATGATCCAGAAGATGTGCAAGTGGACATTGAAGTATCAATAGTGGCCTCTATTTACATCGATATTGACCTGTTACAACTTCACTTACCGAAACGATAATGATACATTACATTGTTTTCACAACAAGACAACGAATTTACATTCTCCTAACATAGGTTAACAGAACAGTCGACGGTACTTATTGTCTGTGTTGATATAGCAGGCAATAGGGTTTTTACGCCGCACTCAGCAATATTCCAGCTGTATGGCGGCTGTCTGTAAATAATCGAGCCTGACCACACAATCCAGTGATCAACAGCATGAGCAGCTATCTACGCAATTGGGATACGGTGACATGTGGCAACCAAGTCAGCGAGCCTGATCGCCCGATCCCGTTAGCCGCCTCTTACGACAAGCATGGGTTACTGGAGAACAATTCTAACCCGGATCTTCACGAGTAACTGGAAATACAAGCAGTGGTCATAACTGTTCATTTCTGGCGAAAATCATGAAAAGACCACATTTATTATGACATCATATTCTGAGGCAATATAACTCACTACCCTACACTATAATACACTGACGATGGTTCGTGCACCAGATGTGAATATAATGTGAGTGAGTATGTTTTTACGCCGCTTTCAGGAATATTCCAGGCGGACACAAATAATGGTCTTCACACATTATACCCATGTGGGGAATCGAGCCCGGACGCTTTAACCAGTAGACTACCTCACCGCCCTGACTAGAACGTATGTGTGTAACAATTACAGTGTTTAGTTAATCAGTGTGCAGCACATGTACTATGGAGAAGCGAAAACTAAGACCCTGTAGACGAAGCAGCCTGGGCTGAGTACATCAGTATACAGTAACTGGGTTAATGTAACCGAGATGCAAACCCAACAACAACGGTATAGTATTTCATCTCTCAGTTTGACCTTTCTTTCACATTTCCAAGATACCATTTACTTTATTTATATATATAGTAGCGATATATTAGGTTAAATATGTGACATTTACTCTTCCCTTTAATATTTTTGTCAAAGGCATGATGGAAATAACACAAGCAGATTTGATTAATCGTAAAAATATACCTGTATATGGTGCCATTTCAAAACGTTGCATGAACAAATCAATTTGGTAGATAACAGACTAGAAGGAAAACGCCTATTTTTACTGTTATAACGACATGTCAGCTGCAGCCTCTGCCTCATGCTCTCTTCATCTCTCATATGCTCTTGGTTAGAGCCCTTTGATCGTCGTATCGACCCTCGTTATTTGGTGCCAAATGGATGTCTTCATCCTTGACTTTAGCCGGACAGGTCTGCTTGCTTTGACAGTCGGTCTGACAGTGACCGCCAGTTGTTCCCATCTTATCAGCTTATTGGAGTGTTTAATCTCTATCCCTCATACAGTCTTGATATCGACTCTCTCCCTCTCTCTTCGCTATCGATTGTAGCTGATGCGGTGCGGGGGTGGGATGACGTCACGGACGCCCGCTACAAAGCGATGGCTGGGCGACCGCGTGTCCCGAAGAGTTCGGTGTGTGTCTTATTTCGCACCGCTGGATCAGACGCCGTCAGTGAGACCGTATGCAAAGGGGGTGGCTTGGAGGTGATAACAGGCAAATTAACCCGCTGCACGTTCCGCTGTGTATCAAAGACAGGGTGATTAAGTCCAAGAGTCAAACTTAGGCTAGGAGTCAATCACTGCTTATTGGATGGGCGTTTAAGAATTCCACCATTCCCAGTTGAAAACAGTCTATTTTGGGCTGAGTTTTGTTATGAACGTATTGATCATGGGTGTTTGACAATGACTCTTTCTAAGTGGGACTCTAGCTTATGAGGTAAAGATTAAGACGAAGTTCTCCTCGGCCCTATTTCGGATTATGCTTTTCAAATCAGAAGCAGGAAACTTTTGTTGCCCAAGTGTTCAATCGAATTCTCACAATGTCTTCGTGAGAGACCTATTATGACAGTTCGATCTTAACCTGACAGAAACATCGGAGCCCCTGACATAAGACTACCATGCAACGTGATAACACGTTATAACAAACGGGGGCATATGACAGCCCTTCAAATACTATCAATTACTGCTGTTGCGATGCTTCTGTTGTTGCTAAATTGGTCAGATAATTGAACACTTCGCTAGGTAATTGTGGCTAATTGGTCACTGAGGCCATGAAGATGTCAACGTAAAACAAACTACCCCACCCTGTAGGTGGCTACTCTTTCGGACGGAAAATCAAATTACAGATTCTAACAACGCGCCCAAACCTACAGATCAATTCATCAATACAGTAAATGGAAGGGCGATTTGACAATAGAATTATTCTGGGATGAGTGTGCCAAATGAACTGCATAATGGTGTATATCAAGTTGATTCGCTTGTCAACAACAACGCAAGAGATATGAATCGTTGCTAGCTTGACGGTTAGAAATTGGCGCACGTAATACATCACTTATATAATTAGGCACATTTGGAAACAGTCTACTACAATATCCAAAACAAGTCCGAACCTGGGACATATTGCAAAATGTCACCATATGGCGACTTTTTGTAATGAAGTGCATTTAATCGTGTAGTACATGTCGCAAAGAGTGAGTGAGTTTAGTTTTACGCCGCACTTAGCAACATTCCAGCTATATCGCGGTTGTCGCAAATAGAAGAAACTCTTTTTCAGTGGATCCTATGCCCCTTCGATTGCATTGACACTGTATGTCTCGATCCAGAAATAACGGAAAATCTAGAAATCTGTTAGGTACATTTCGCTGTTAGAAAGCCAATACAACGCAACACCCCGCTGTTATCCTGTTTCATATTTAAGATTAATGTGATCATTCCAAAATATGACTGTATTTTCACAGTCAGTTAAAAACGGATATGTTCATTGAGAACAAATTTCAGCATTATGACAATGGTCTAATAAGGAAGAATGATATTTTTCAAGAATGCTGTTCGAGTGTGTTTAAGACATCCCCCTATGTTCAGATGGTTGTTGCATCACACCAGACACGAGAGCACGCCATCCCAGATCATCTACCCCAAGTCATATATAAGCAAATACTTATATGTACTTAAATCGTGTCTCTCTCCTGATGGTTATAATTTGTAACTTCACCACCCTTAACAAATGTCTTTTACGATTTCAATAATGGTTATCAAACAGAGCCTCATATCATTAATCATTAGAGTCAAAGACACAGAGATTAATGTGATCCTGAAGAGAAGATCCATAGGTAATGCCAACCGTTTCTGTACGTAATGTACTGGCAGGCTGACGTTGAATGTGTAAGATCTATGTCGAGAGGTTATTAGTATTCTGAAGACAATGGAAATCGATACTATAGCTGACGCACGTTCATCCATTGATAACCGTGGAGATTATAAGGACAAAATACACTGATTGGTTCGATCGATCTGCGTATTGTTTTTACTCAAATTGCGTACACCAGTCACGCAACTGACCTGGCTATTCCGGTTATATTAGCAGAATACACCTTAGCCCAGACTGGCAACCCTGTGGAGTACTGCCTTAATGTATTTAATACACCATCATAGCAACAATCATCATCATAGTTGCCACCAAGTGACAGAAATATAGACACATAGATAGAGAGAGAGAAGAGAAGAGAAGAGAGAGAGAGAGAGAGAGAGAGAGAGAGAGAGAGAGAGAGAGAGAGAGAGAGAGAGAGAGAGAGAGAGATTATATATGTGTATATATGTATTGAATACTTTCTCATCGGTCATAGTGAAAATAAAGGGATTATATACATAAAATACATATATACACACATGTCTGTGTGTGTGTGTGTAGTCCTTGCTCACATATATAGATATAAGTATATATGTAAATTTGTATATAATCCTTCGGCATACATATATAGTTATGTTTACGTACTTTTTATTCGAGAGCAAATGGGGCGGTTGATAGAGATGGATTTTTCAATGGTTCCGTAATTGACCTAGCCAGATTTGAAAAGGAAGATACTTCATTTCTTCACTTTGTTGACAAACCAAATCTTGAATCTTCACATGGAACGACAGTACATGTTCTTTTGTCTCATCTTTGACATTATTGAAACTCCGACAAAACGCCCTCGCCTACTTACGTTTGTCTTAATACCATGCCGATCACAGGACAAAGAAGAACTCCATAGCAACGGCTGAAAACAAAGTTAATTACAAAGTTAGAAGGCGGCAGTCGTCGCTGAAGTGTGTGATATTTTCTATGACAACAATGCAGTAGGTTATTACATGTCAACCCTCCTCTCAAATTGGCGCTCTGCCCCTCCCTGTCTGATCGACTGGCTCCTCCCAAATACTCCCTGAGCGTCGGCATGCGGGCTTGTCTTGTTCCTTCCCGCCCACGACTAACAGCCGTTAGACTGACGACAGACTGAGCCAAAGCCCGAGTAGTTTATTTCCATCCCAACAGATAGACTTCAATCATCGAGTGTGTGCTGGGCCCGTTACTGCATTCCCAAACAGTGTTGACAATAAAATATGGCGTCATGAATGAAGTCACGTGACTGGAGGTACCCACTGCCCATGCAGCAACAAGTTCGCTAAGTAGCAATCGTTCAATAACGTGACTTGTTACAGACGATGCCAATTATTGGCAATATATGCGCGTTTTTGTGTGTACTAGCCTGTCTGTGGCGAGGTTGGTAGTGGGTGGGCGGCGGCAGGCTGAACCTGCTTCAAGCGATAAACAGCACCGATCATCCATTGTCAGATCAACTCGCTCATGGAACCGTAGATGTTAATAAATCGGTCAGGACATAAAGTCACCTATGAATGTATTACGAATGTAAATTTGTTGTAAAGTAGTTAGTATAGAGCTTACATGATGACTTTGTTCAGTACGTGAGATTACACCTCAGGGCGGGGTGAACCTATTTCTCCACCATCAGTGACCGGGAGAGATTGTGACGTAGTTGTCCTGCCCATTGTCGGTGCTTTACAAATCTTGACATCCAACTTGTCACCACTTGAATGGAAGAGCCAGTGACCGGAACGCCGAGCTGAGACAGGGTTGTTATAATCCAGTAACATCAATCCTGGTTTATAATCATTGGCCGGAGAGAAACACTTCTGGTCTGACGGACGGACGGACATGTGGACGGGCCATGCCGCCGGTTACCTGTAAATATGAAGTTAGCAAGTTTGTGGTGCTATCCCCGAGAGAGTAGGCAGAAGTTGAACACCACGGAGAGAACAAGACGCGCTCATCTCTCAGGTAAGACGTGCATACAACATTGCATACAAATAATGGGATTAGTAGGCATTGCAGATCCACAACACAACCCGTAACATCCGATCTATGTCAAAATAATTGGAGCTATGTGCAAGTTAACTTCTGTTTCACCTGATATGTGTGATCATGCATGTAATTCAAAATTATTTTTCGGATTATCTATATACATTTTATGTTCGTATGAAGAAATATTGAAAGCATGGGGTATTTTATTGGGATAATCGTAATGTCCAATTTGGTTCCGACAGTCTTGTCTAATATAATATTGATTTGTAATATATTTTGTTAGCATTAAAGTATAAGTAAGTTATTTCGAATGCTTATTTACTACAACTTGTAAACGTTTGTGTTTGTCATAAAACTGTCATTCGTATATACATTATATTAAGTATTCAAAACTTTGAAGTATATAAGAAATTTAATCAAACACAGATGACAGGACAGTGTTCTTTGATTGTATTTCCATCAAAGTATAGTACTTTCACTTAATTAAATGCATGGTGGATATTAAATCTTTTATACACCCACTCAATCAGTATGCATTGATGTACTTCTAACTCCCATGTTACATGTCATTCGTTTATCGATATGGTTCCATTGTATAACAACATCAACGATCAACTATTCACCAGACAATAGCTGTATTTCTACTGAAGTCCACTGAATTGATTCAGTTGCATCCGTTCTCTGCTTGAAAACATGGCGTGATTTACCCTAATTCTTGTCTATAAGAACAAACTGGTCTCAAAGGGCCATTTGGGAATTCATATTTGCTTCCGAAGCTTCCGAAATGATAATTATATGACGATATTAAATGGCGTGTATGTACGACAACAATCTGTTAAAGTCAGGATGTATGGTATTCTTCCATACAGATAATGTATAAGACTAATCTTTACTGCTGAAGGATTCATTATTTTACAAAGGTGATTTGTACAACTGGAATGATGCCTTAAACCATTAAACGGATAATAGTACAGCCCTTCGTGCTCACACTAAGAACACAACCTACTTGGTTTCTGCGGCCTCCGCAACAAGCAGGACACGTGTAACACCGTGTATTCTGAAAATATGTAATGGTAGACGAAAAGAAACATACCGCCTGATTCGTCCTGTTTTTGATAAGAGTTAATGTGACACTTGTCTGCTACATGATACACAGTTGGTATGTATTTACTGTATGTGATAAAGATACCTGTGTTCCGTTACCCGTAGCTGCAGCAACAACTGTCACCATGTCCTTTGATCTCCCTACGTGTCCGCTCACTTCAGGTTAACTAGACCTATATTATACACGAGTGATGCACTTTTGTACACAATACATTATAACTTTCTAAATGGACGATATTGATGACTGTTCAGATTGACGCAAAGGTTTCACCTTCCGCAACGTTATTTTGTCCGTTGGGCGTACGCGTGTATTCTTCATGGTTCTCATGGACGCAACTTACTCGAACCCCGAAGGCGTCTTTCTGGGACATAAGTATTAAGTGTTGGATATATCACGGCTACGAAAATCATTTGACATGATGTTATAACCTTTCTTTCACGAACACGCATTTCTTTTGAGAATACTTAAATTTGTTGTTATGAATTTCATGAAGAAAAGGATAACTGTCTGTAGCAGATGTATTTTCTGGTTAGCCTGAACTAAGAGTTAAGTCATCATGAAAGCACCACGGGCCCATATATGTGCTGACTAATGCCGTTTGTCATTTATTGAAAAATAAAAATGCTTAAAATGTATGGCGTGACATCAACACAGAGTGGAAGCCTGGTGGCTGACACGCAGACTCTTCGCGCCTAAGAAGCAGGTTGGATTCTTCACATGTGTACATTGTATGAGGTCGTTTCTTGTCACCTGCCGGCCGTATAGTATTGGAATATTACTAAAAAGAACGAATAGTGCCACTGATCTATATTATATCATACATTCAAGATAACTTTGTTAACAAAATGTAATCTGGTTGAGGCTGCAAGTCCATCAAAATAGATTTCTGGAACATGATAATTACCTGGTAACCTGACATGATGGCTGTCATGGCGTATGTACTGGAAACAAGTGGTTCAGATTATCACTTCATTTAGAGAACGAGCGGGGATTGCATTGCCCCAAACAAGCACAGGTCCGCAGCGTAGAGGAGTGGCTCATACACTGCCTCTGGCTCATTTGAAACACTGAGACAGACTCACCAAAGCATATTGTGCTCCCTTGCAAATTGACACCTGGATGATAAAACTCAAACAGAAAGTAAGCCGTTTTAAACATTTAATGTGCTTCTATCCCTGAAAAGACATGGTATCAACAGATCCAGAATTAATTGTTTTATTAAGCCATATATAAATACCTGTAACGTTTTGTTTGAGAAACGGTAATCATTAAACAATGGACATGTGCCGGGCATATAGAACAGTATTTCAGTCCCGAACAAGGAACAAACGTATCACGTTCCATCTGGTGAAACGCGAGAGTGTAAGCAAATGATAATTATTGTTATACATGATTTCAAATGAAGCGTATTGTTTCATTGACTCAGCTGGACATTGCAATCTGGCCTCACCTGACTGGTGACACGCCTATGATATACAATACTTGCAACATAATTAAGTAGGATTAGATCTACTATTCCATCTGTAAAACCTTTTACATTTCCACCTACTTAGTACTTACAATTTAATGCTCCAGTGGGTACTAAACTTTCTTAACGTAAAATGCTCAGGTTTTGCGAGGAAATGTGATTATGCTAAAACCGTTTTTGCATAGCATAAAAAATTGTAGAGATTTCCTTCAAGCTGAAACTTAACGGATAATTGACTTAATACAAGCCTTTTTGTCATGGACTCCTTGTACATATACTCATTTGTGAAGTACAATAGCTGAAGAAGAACCCTGTACATGAATAACTTAGGCGTATCCTTTGTCGCATGAAAAGAAACAGTGTTTTAACGTCAGTATCCTAGCTGATTTATTGTGTTAATATCTTTTGTCACACACATCCTCCGTCACTAACTAGGAAGCTGTGATCGGCCTCGGATACTGAAATCATGATATATCCTTCCACGCACGATGTCTACTGCCAGAAATATTTATGTTGCATGGCTTCTCACTTATGACGTTTTCTTTGTATCAAACATAACCAGTCAGCAATCTTTCTAAGTACCAAGTCAGTATGGACATATGGCAACGATTTCGTGAAGATTTAGTTTCTCGGAAGGAAAAATAGCAACAAAGAGACCAATTGCGTGCTGAAACAGGAATATCACTTGACACATTCGGAAACAGTATAGCAGCTCGTTATAAACATCATTAGCAAACAAGATGAGTCTGAGGATGCTGGAATGCTAAACAGCCAGGGAGTGTGATGTTATATCCCCGTGTGGTGGTGCTTTCTTCATAGAATAAAAATAGTACCTGGTAATATTATAGTACTTTATCAGTTTCAAATTCATAAGTAAATGATCGAATGTCTTATATTTAGACACACCCCGTTGAAAACTATTACAAAGTCAATAATTTTCAGTTTCAAGTTTCAGAAATTAATGCTTCTACAAATTGGGTTTCCGTCTATTCACACCAATCACAACTTACAATCTTAAATCCGTGCTTGAGATTTTACTTCTGTCTTCAATATTGTAACTAGCTTAGACTAGAGTCCTTGTCTCTTGTCACCAATATGGGGGGCTCCCATGGCTTCTGTAAGGTATCTGGGCTATATTGCAGGACGATGACATTGTCCTATACTGTTGAAAATGGTCGTATTGAAAAAATTATTTGCTCTTCCAAATCTCTTGACGTCACAAAAAAGTATGGGTTTTTTTCATCATAGAATTTATTTATTTATTTACGAACAGCATTCTTTTTCTACAATTACCTATGCAGAAAATTACGTTTCGGGGGTTTTGATAGTCAAGGGAATGTATGACCTAGCACATAAGATTCGTGTGAAGAACACAAAACTATGTAAAGTGATAATATTCAGCTCTCAGGCAGTGTAAATACAAAGATAGAAACCTGGAGTAAAATAATCTTTATATATGAGTCATAGCAGCACAGGCGAATGATAAATACCAAGAGAACAAGAGAGAAACATGACGCTTCATATCTTATAATATAAGTTCGGGGAAAACAGTCTTTTACAGTTGGTTTTATCATTTTTTAACAGCTTCTCGTTGACAAAATTTAGGTTTTACATTGGGGGAAATGTGGATCTTCCGTTTCTTCATTTTCCACCTAAAAGTAGAGTGCATCTGTAGGGGCTGACCGATGTGTAATCGGTGCAAATTCATGTGCAGTTGAAGCATAAGTTCCGGTTTTCCCAAGTACTTGTCATGCAAAATAACATGTACAACATTTAAAATGAGTGTCCATCAAAGAAAGTGTTATATAGATGGTCCTTCAGTAATGTTTTCACACGTCACGCAGCATGAAGCATTTTCTTGAAACAGCAAACTGTCCAACAGTTGTCTCACTGTCCAGCTTGTCTACGGCTGTATACGACTGTCTACTATATTACTCACAATATACAGTTTTCCGATTTGTTTCGCTTCGGTATAAATGGATACGGTTTGTTGTATGGCAGCACGGTAATGGTTAGGATCAAATGTCGACGTTTACATGTTTTTGTCGTCAGTGGCTATTACATAACAAGGAATCTTTCATAACGCTGCCTCAATTTATGTGTTCGGGATATATTTGCAATAACATATATATTTTCTTTGTTATGAGAACTACATACTATCACTAAAAACAATAGTGCCCGCTCATCTAGCCTGCCAATATGTAAAATTACTCTTAGAAAGGGTCGCATGAATAAAAGTGAAAGAAGTGATGCCTGCCCATGTCTTTGCAATATACATTGTGGGTTCGTCTATACTGTTCCATCCGATGCACCTGTGACTGTTACGTCATGAAAACCGAGGAGTGTTAACATGTTGAATGTAATGTATAGATGTAAAGAATCAAGGATATCTAGGAAGGTTCA